CTAAACCTTATTGCTGTCGCGTAAGCCGTATCAGGCAAAATTGGGATAAGGGGACCGTTAAGAGATACTGTGGCTAGTGCATCCGCCATCTCATTGAGATATATGCCATGATGGCCTGGTACCCATAACAGAAGCCACACTACCCCAGAGCAACGTACCACTGCTTCATCATGCGCCTTTATGCGAGTACGCGATTACTTAATAGGCATTGAGCAGCAGGGCGGAACTGAGATTGAGCCATCCCAATGCGAGTATGTGCCATTTTGTGAAAAAGAGGAAGACTCGTTGTGCTCGTGGTCTAAGGTTCGGTTCAGCTCGACGTTCAGTACGGCTGCTCCTGTGAACAGACGTTGTGGTCTTTCCGTAATCATGTGACAATATAGTGATTGTCTGTTTCAAGGAACAATACATGAGTGAAAACTTGTTGTTGGGATAGTTGGTAACTCGTTATATAATGAAAATACATACTATTCGAGGAGACTTGTGCTTCTGTTAGGCTGCAAACCATGTTTCGTTTATGATTGTGACTTGTATCCAGTGGCCACTTGTCACAGTAACTAGTGGCTTGGCTCATTTGGGGATAATTATGTTCACATTTGTGATTAACAATTTGAGGGTCAAATTTTTCGGCCGAATGCGACCCACCATGGTTGTTGTTCTTTTTTTTTTTTTCACTTCTGATTTGAATTTTTCAGGTGAATCCACTTCAGAAAGAATTGTTGTAATTTTTTAGGGTGACCATGAAGCGACGAAAAAATCATTTGGGTTGCTACATACACGCGGTTTATTCACGAGTAAGAGAAAGATGAATTCTAAACAAAACTTATACAAGTGTGAAAACATTGTGCATTGCAATAAATGTCTTTGTTGTTCACATACGTACAAGAATAAGTGCACAAAGTGGCATCAAGTGGAAACACGGAGGGAGAAAAACCTACTTTGGTCCCGTTAGCGTCATCTCGCCGTGCACACTTTTGAGATGTTACTCCTGCACCACCTGAGTCTTAACTCGTTAGTAACTCCTTGTATGACAAGCTGACATCCAGTGAATCAGCCCCTGACATGGCAGTTGAGTAAAGGTTTGCAGAAATCACCGCTATACTCGCTTGTAGCAGAAGAACCGACGCGCAAATCTCTGGCGCAAAGAAACTGCAGGTGAGCGCATTGAAGAAGACTGTGTGGTCATGTAGATGTCCAAAAAGGAGAAACAAGTAAGAAAATCTCTAATAATTATTGGTATTATTGCCAACGAGACAGACGCAGTCTTTGCGAGTCCCTGAAACAGGCAACATAACCACAAAGGCATTGCTTGGGTCAGTAAGCGGCCTTATAGAAACCGGCGTAACCACTTACTGGGAAGCAATAAATGAGAGTAACAAAGCAGTCACCTTTTCAGAGATTCTACCCCAGGCAGCCATCAGTTTTACAAGCAGGAACAAGCTGAAAGCCTGCAATGTGGCTGCACATGCTAAGCAAAAAAAAAAAATGTTAGAAAAGATGTGCTTTCTAAACACACAAGTGGTGCCGTACTTGTGTGTCATTGACCATTTAGAAGGTATTTGTGGAATACATGTACGGCATTGACCCTGAAAGGAATAATGCAGTTTACATTAAATTTCACAATGTAACAATTTCAGGGTCATTGTTACATGACACATCTTGCATGTGTTACCTAATTTTTTTTTATTGCAGTTAAGGAAGTGTCTTTAGCTTTGGTGATGACTGCTTATTTGTATGACGTGGACTGTAGTGTTTTAAAGCTGACAATTTGTGTCTCTCATAATCATTTGGTGGTTTTGGGACGTTAAACCCCACATACCGATCAATCAAAGCTGACGATTCGGTGGTGTAGATTTATTTAATCAAGAGTTTTTCAGACAGTTTTGTGCCCGGGGAAAAACATGATACAATAAAGCAAACACTTTTGAAAGCTTTTTATAGCTGCTGCAATTTGTAGTGTTTGACTGTTCCACTGCAATGCGACTCATAATCGCATCATGGTTTTATAATCTGAAACTCGGAATAGTGAAGTAATTGTTCCATTTTGTATTGGAAAATGTGGCTTATTATCCTCAATTGACAGCTCTTATATCAAAGGCAGGAGAGTTTCCCCTTGTGCTGTATATTGCCACATCTGGATTGGGTTTTTTTTTTTATAGTAACTTTGCATACTCTTGGGGTGCCAGGTTCTTTGCTGACTGGAACATCTAAGAAAACTAAGATTTTCTTTATTGCTTTATATTAGGTACTCACACAACCTGCAAGTGCCCGTTGCAAAGCAGTAGCGCACAGACAAGCGTTTCAGAGGTGACGTGCATTCACGCTCACGCACTGCTGTATACAACTGTACGCAAGTGTCGCACAAGGCTTAACTGGAATTTTCTTTATATCTGCCTGCATTAGAGCTCTCTTGTATTCGTAAGCATTATCTTTTTGATACCTCATGTGTAATGATAAAACAGCACTCAGTGAGTAAATACTCGGTGAGTAATTCGGTATAATAGAAAAGAAAGGATAGTGGGGTGTGGTGGTGGTGGGATGGTCAATGTTATCACACAATTGCTAATAAACACCAAGAAGTGCAGTGGGCTCGTTTTATTAGAGTCATCCAGTTCAGCCTTTCATTACTCCACTTGTGCAAACAGAGAGCTTTGGAAAGTTGCGAAAAGATTGAGGGTGCGAGAGATTGCAGTAAACTGTAATGCGTTGGTACTGTTCGGCACAACCCCTAGTTTCGGTTGCCGGCTATTGACAGCTTGACTAATCTCCAGAGGGGCTTCATGTTATTCTTGAGATGAATAATGTGTTATCTTGTCTGATGACTTCTGTAAAAATTCTCATGTTGGCATCATTTTACAGTGAAAGCTTTTATGAGATCACAACAAGGATTGATTCTGTTGTCCACTGTCTGTGTCCGTAACCACATGCATGATGTAAGAAAAAAAAAACTAAATAAATAAAGAAATGCCGAGGACACAATGGCAATCGAACCCGGGCCCCCTGCCTGCCAGCCGGGTATTCTACAGCAAAGCCACGCCAGGGCTGGAAACTGCGTTGCAAACTTACCCTATGCAGGCTTAATGTCAGGAAAGAAATCATGTTAATATGAGTAATAAAGCCTTTAAGAACAGCACATTAACAACCAGGTGTCACAGAATTCGAATTGCATAACGAGTTGGTTATTGAATGCTCCAACCCATTACGAAAGCTTCAGGTGTAATTCTTAATCGTAGGCAGCCACTGCATCAAGGAATTGCACAAAAATCTTTGCAGATGTGTAGCGGGTACCATGCTTTTCTGAAGAATGATAGAACAAAGGCACTGTGGACGCTTCCTCACTACACAAAAATTTTGATGATTTATGGCGTAGTGGGTACCATTCATGTGTGTCTGTAGTAGTTACTCCAAGAGTGTGTAAAAAAAAAAAAAGAAAAGACTCTCTTCCTTTTTCTGAAAGAGCGTCCTAGAAAGGACGCTCTTTCAGCTTTCGCTGCGTGTTCTGCACAAGCCTGGCATTTTTTTTTTTTTTAGTTTTATAATCTTGTTATTTGCTCGTCTTTAAGCATTGCACACATATGCTTAGAACAGTCAATTTCTTGTTGCTAAAGCAATCGGCCGTCTCCCGTTTGTCAAAGTTTACAACGGGCCATTTTTTTGTGATACACTGTTATCTGTGTAGCAAGCATTTGGGCTCATTAAAAAAAACTGTGATGTCATATTGGCTAGAAAGTGAGGGACCACTGTTTTAAACATTCTGTCAGTTCACCTTTATTTTCTTTGCAGGCTTTTTGCCAATATGCTTTCTGTTATGGCACATACAATCAGATTCTCAAAGAATAGGTTTATGTCTTGACATCTTTCATATACTCAATCCACAAATGTGCCATGGGGCTGTTGCTCAGTGTAGTTTGTAGAGACAATGGTTTTTCATTTGAATTTTTACTTGTATAGATCAATCAGTGTTCCGTTGTGTATCTTGAAGTTTATGGTCAAGTGCTTTTCCCCACACCCCTTTTAATGTTGCTATTCTGAAAATTTTTCCTGGCATCTTTGTTGCTTTTATTTAAAGATTACTTTGTTATGCTTTTGCCAAGACCGCACCTGAACAACATCATATCCTTCAATTAGTCGTGAGAGTGATTCTGAGATTGTGATTGTGCATGGTTAGTTTCTTGAATTGTACATTTAGGAACTTGGTATTATCATTCAGAGGGAGCTTCAATAGTAATGACATTGTAGTTTAGGGCAAGTTCAATCCTTCAACAATGCATGATCTGTTACTGTGTACTTAGCAGGCAACATTGTGTAAGCTGTGCTGTTGTACAAATTCAGTTAGGTCATACTAAAATGGCTGAAGGTAGCTGAAAGAACGCTACATACATTAATGAAGTTATATACACTCCAACCTTAATATAACGAATGTGGATATAACAAAATATCGGTTATAACGAAGCAAATCAAGCAAAGTCTTCCTATAGATATAGTGTTAGGATTACATCTTTATAGTAACGAATTTTCAGTTTTAAGGAACTTATTTTCGTGTAAGATGCAATTTTGTTATAATGAGGTTTGAGTGTACAATGTATACAGACACGGCAGAAGTATATCTCTATTATGATGTAGCACCAACTTTTGGGGGCATATGCAGAACTGGCTCATTTGGAAAGCACCTTAACGAAGAAAGCAAGAGTATGATGAAAGTGCATGGGCTCAAGATGAAATATACTAATGAAATAAAATATATTGACGTTGATTATGCAAAAGCTTTCTTGAGAGAGTAGAAATGTTTGTATATCTTATTTTAGAATTACTTTGATCGTTCTCCAGATTCCTTCGTTTAGTACTCTAAATAACCTTTCTAATACTCTACAGCCCTGCAGCTTCTTTGGCAGCTTCAACTTGACTATTCAGTCAATAAATTGATCAGTCCATTAGCCATCAAACAATGAGATGCTTCTCTCATGCTGTTGCTTTTCTGTTTTTGCTCTCCTGTGGCCCAGCTCTTTGAAATGGATTTTGAATGCCTGTCCTCACTCATCACGCTGGAGCATCTGAACCTGAGATGCCTCAAGCCAGACCTGGCTCACCCGATGGGCGCACACTCTCAATGTCCACTGCCACCAACGCCACCGGTCACGCCCACCTTAGCTGGAGCTCAGCCATCATTTGTGTCTCGCTCCACGCCTGACATCACACTGGCACAGGTGTGTGGATGTACATTAGAGTACGCCTGCAAGAAACGCCTCCTGTGGTTATTTTTCACTGGCTAACAAAAGGTTGAAAAGTTATTGCTTAGTGCAAAACTCACCTTCCTGTATTGGAGTGTGATCACAAACTGTAATGGTGTTCATTATACAATATCAACTTACCATACGTAACAGCACAGTACCTTATTTACCGTGCAGCACATTGTAGAACTTACCGTACATATGCTTACCGTACATTTGCCAACATTATCATACAGTACCTTACTTAGCGTATAGTACACAATAGAACTTCTCATACATTACCTTACTTACTGTATACATAGTATGTTACAGTAATTGCTAAGTACCACTCTGTGCTTATTTAGCACATAGTATGTTATAGTATTTACCGTACATTGCATTTGCATTAAGTATATACAGTCAAACACGGTTATATCGAACCCACATATATAGAATTTCTGGGTATATCGAACTCATAAGTTATCCCCTTGAAATTGTTTTCAAAAAGTATAGAAATTCGCGCGTTTATATAGAACGGTATTTTTACCCACCTTTAGATATATCGAACGCCCCGCGAGCTGGAGGTGTGCTTCGGCGCTTCCCCACCCCCCTCCTGCGATCTTCGGCGGCAGCACTGACTCCACGCGCGACTTGAAAAGTGCTCTTTGGCACGCAGCACCCGGCGACCTCCGTGTGGCACCACCCCTCCGCCTAAACCCCAAACGCTCAAAAAAAGTTAAGGGCGAGAGGGCTCGGACTGCACAATCTCCAACTTGCAGAACAGCCTTTTTTTTTTTTTCGTTTCTCTTTCTCTCTCTCATGCTTTCTCTGCTTACCCATTGGCTCGAAGAGCAGGCATGAAGGAGCCGCTGTCCTCCTCCTTTCACCTTTTATTTTTATTTTTTGTTGCTTTTTTACGAGTTTTGATCAGGCAACCACAGCCCGCGCCTCTTGCTGTTGCCCTTGCAGGTGGCCATCACCTCGCGAGCGCTGTGTTGCTTCCGTTCACGTGTCGCCTGCATAGCCACTGCACTGTGCAGCATTTCTCTTTTGCGTGCGTGGTGTGCAAAGCCGCTGCGGACTCTTGGAATTGTCGACTTTTCGTGTACCTATGGCCAGCGTCAAGAAGCGCAAGACCCTTGACTTTGTGACGAAGTTGAAGGCTATTCAGCGTGTTGAGGCGGGCAAGAATCGTTCGACCGTTGCGGACGACTTCAGGATACCACGGAGCACTCTGAGTACCTTTTTGAAAAAGAAGGCAGATATGAAGGCAAAGGCGGCGGAGCAGCAAACTTCACGAGCATGTCATGTGCGCACTTCTGTCCCCGGGAATGTAGAAAAGGCACCCTATTCTTGGTTTTTAGAAGTGCGCGCAAAGAACATGCCGGTGGATGGCCCGATGCTGATCGCCAAGGCCAAATGGTTTGCCGCTGCACTCAGTGAAACAACTTCACCGACAACAGCGGGTGGCTTCACCGATTTAAGCCACGCTACAACATTATTGGCAAAACCAATTCTAGCAAAAGCGAAGCTGGCAAAACCGATTCTAGCAAAAGCGAAGCTGTCAGCAGCCAGGACATCCAGCAGTGGATGACGAAGGAGTGGCCGGAAATCTCCGCGAACTTTTCTTCGGTAGAGTCTTCAATGCCTGGCGAGACATGAAGACGGACACAGTGGTCAACTGCTTCCGCAAGGCAGGCTTCGATACGGCGGAACTTGCGGAAACCAGTGAAGACGACGATGACGAGCACATAGATGACGCGTTTCGCGAGTTGTCATCCAGCTTCCCGGCAGCAGTTCTACACGAAGTGTCTGCGGATGACTTCGTAGAAGCGGACTGTAATGTCCAGGCTGACAACACATGTGATAAGAAAGATCATCCGGTCGAGGCCCTGACTACACGCGCCTACTTTGTTGCTGAAGTGGCGGCAGCATTCGGCATGATTTGCTGTTGTATCGGCCACATGAAGTGAACTGGGCTTTCACACCTGGACAGCCTTGATAAGATCGAGACTAGTGTCTTCAACATTTCAAAAACGAAGAAGCAGGCCAAGATCAGCGATTTTTTTTTATGAAAATAAAACATTCTGTTGCAGTGTGTGTGCAGAATCAGTTATTTTTGAACGCACCTATTGTAAGTGATAGTCCGCTACAAGTAAGCTCTCAAGGGCCTCTGTTTTTTTCTTTAGAATTTTTCATATATTGAACTAATTCACGATCCCCTTTGAGTTCAATATATCCGTGTTCGACTGTAGAAGAGCTTACCATACAGTATCGTACAGTACCTTAGTTACTGTATATTCTATTATAGAACTTACAGTGAGCATCAGAAATTATGCTGGAATGCATGATGGCACACGTTTAAAGGGCGGACATGTGTCACCTGCAGATCATATTTTGACGATTGACTACTGTGCTTAATGCACACGTTTAAAGGGCGGACATGTGTCACCTGCAGATCATATTTTGACGATTGACTACTGTGCTTAATGCTGATGTTGTCTTTGGAATGTTAATTGTTTTTTCGGGCATAAGCTTGCAATAAAGATTATAATATTTACCAGTCACTCTAGCTGCTCATTTTTTCACGATCACCGCAATGTGTTAATATTATTTGCACACCTCTAGTTGTGTGCTGTATGGGGTTGATAGTTGTTAGGATGGTCACTACAATGATGATGTAATCCTGTTCATATTTTTACACTTGGCCAGCTAATTACCGTAATGTCTCTCTTTTTATCTCGCAGAACATGCCCTTGCTCCAACCTGTAGCACCAGAGCCTGCAGTGAGTGTGGTGCCATTTCCATTCAGCATCATGAAGTTGCTCTCCAAGTGCCAGCAGACTGAGATCCTCTTCTCCACCTTCATCCAAGGTCAACATCCTCTCAAGCTGTATGGTTTTATTAGACCGCATGCTGAGGTAGCGCACTAAGGACGGGGACAGAGGGGACAAGAAGGAACCCGTCTGAAGTGCGCTACTTCATCATATGGTATAATGATCAGTCACTAACTAGCCCAGCTCTCAAAATTATTGAGCTCTACCGTTTTTTAACGTTTGTGATCATATTTAGTTTAGTTCTTCCTAGAGTACAGTCATCGTCTGCTAAAAAGATTTCTTTTTTTCATGCTAATGTACCGTGTCTGTGCGCATAGCTTTCGCTCATGGCAATTTTCACGAGGTGCTAAAAGAGCATCATCATGTAACATTTGTAGTGGTTTTCAGGCAGTTGAATTTTGTATAAATGTCTAAAAGCCATCTTAAGAGACCTCAGAAAGGCCTTACCTCACTAGTGCTTTGAAAACTCACAATTTTGCTTTTGGCTAATAAGAGCTGTATTCTGTTTGTTTGGTTGGTTGATTAGTCAAGTTTTTAAACAGCAAAGCTGTTGGACAAGTCGTCCTTTGTCCGGCGAACCAAAACACTCGTTCATGTATGGGCTGCAAAAATCGGTAAGCCCCACTACTGAGTAAAATGTGAAATTGAGTTTCTTCAAGACTAGAAGCTCCATTGGTTAAGTAAAAAAGTATAATCATGACGAGTGCAATAACATGGCCAGCATGCACTCTCTTTGTCCTCTTCTTTATCTTCTGCTTCGCTCGCAGAATGAGTTCACTGATTTGCCCGACGTGGAACACAGCAACTTGGGTGAACAAGAGAATGAGTACAAAGAGAGGGAAGGAATAGAGAAGGACAGGGGAAGAGAGAGATAAAGGAAACATCTCAACCTCAAAGAAAAGCTTGAATACTTTCATAAGCAACCTGGTGTATATTGGCTTTGTCAAGGTAGCAGCATGCATTGGAGGCGTATTCAAAAGTGATAGCAAAGCCAGTAAAACAGCTCTCAGAAGGTGAACAGTCAAAAGAATAGATTTTCCATTCGTGGAAAGAAAACTGTGCTAGTCTGTCCCTTTTTATCTTTTTCTAATTGTCAAAATAGGGTCGTGCAACAGATTTATTGATAAAATATGGTAGCAATTTATTCATGAGCATATTTATTTTGTACTCGTGTAATCGAGTACTATTAGTCTAAATACTCTACTTGAAAGCACAGTTTTTACCAGGCTGAGCAAAATAAATGCTTTTTCTTGTTCCTTTCCTATTTATTATAAGTATATGTACTTCATTCAGTGTTTTCAATCAACATATTAGGGCATACTTGGCATGTCAGCATTTGGTTTTTGGGAGCACTTCTGATAAGACGAACTCCTGATAGGACGAACAAATGATCGTGGTCCCTTCAAGTTCATCCCGAAGGGAGTCTACTGTATGCTGCCAACAGTCACAGACCACGGACCAAGCCTATGGCTCTTCTCTGGTACTCCTTGTGGGGGTGCTGACACTCCCTGTAAAGCTTTTTGCGCCTCGTGGCACACGTGTCTCGTACAGAAGCCGCATTCAGTAGTCGCAACTACCACGCGGTAGGTGGGGTTGTGTTTGTGACCGTTGATCACCTCTATCATCATCATGGTTAGAAAATGTTAGCGCCAGCAGTGACGCCTGGCAGCACGCAAAAAATAATTTGGTCTCTTTTGGCGTGGGGCGGTAGCGCGAACGGTTGCCTCCAGTGTTGGGTCTGCCGTGGACGGCATCGCAGGACCGCCTGGGGTGGGCCCACGTGGTGAGTCAGGCGTTGGCGACACTGCCTTGTGTGTCATGTTGTTGTGTGTTGTTTAATATTGTGTAAGGATGTCTTAGCATGTGGATCACGGATAATAATTCGGCTGATGATATCGTCAATCAAAAAGAAGTCAAATAGGTGTGTGTTGTTGTTTGGAACGCACCTGACTGTGTCAACTGTGTCCGTTCACTCCAAGAGCATGGTGCTCTTGCCAATACCATCAGACTCCACATCCTCTAGACAGATAAATATATGGTGCTAATTCAACAACGGCCGTAAGTCTTGCCCACATCCTATGCAGCTGGCACAAGGGACAGTTTCATTTAGACAGTGTTGGAGGAAAATAAGAAAGGCTGCTTTGCTTTTCAGTCAGGCAAAAAAAAAAAAAAGAAAGGAAAGAAATATCAGCTTGAAAGAAGGCTTTGTTACTAACCCCAAAAGAAGTTTATTTATTACTAAGGAAGCCCCTTGTCACCCAAGAGGGGAGAGGGGGTGAAGTATGTGGATGTAACAGGAGGTTAGGGGGGCACTGCAATGACCCTTCCCCCTGAAGGGCAACCCTGTGCACGCTTGAGACAGGCATGGTAGTATGCTAGTACACTCAAACCTTGATGTAACGAGCCCAGATATAACGAAATTTCGGTTATAATGAAGTAAATGAAGAATAGTCTTCTAATGTATATATACTAAAACCTCATAAAAAATGTACATGTGCCATGAAAATACTTCGTTATGTCCAAAAATTTGTTATAAATGATTATTTCCTACACTCTATCTATGACAAAGTGATTAGTCATGGACTTAGTTATAAACCATAATTTGTTATATCTTAATTTGTTATACCAAGGTTTAAGTAGGGTTAAAAATAAACATTTATAATGAATTTTCAGATATAACAAACTTTTTTGTGTAAGATGCAACTTTATTATAATGAAGTTTGGGTGTTATAGTAGCTGTCTCAGGTATCACCAGAAATTATCATTGCCTATTACCTCGCGTGCCATATCATTTTCATTCCTATATAAGGCAAGAATTTCTGTCTCTGTTCTTTGCGCTATTTAAATTTTACGTGATTTCTTGTGCTCTTCTCAGCTTTCTTGTATTGACTTGAGGTGGTGTCATGTTGCGTAGGTGTCGTCCTGACTAGTTTTATTACTGGGGCGACATGAGCTCAAAGCTGTCCTAGCCGTCAAACTGTCTACAATACTGGCCAGAATCTGAATGCACCGAATGACAGGCTCACGCACCATATCGTGCACTTACAGAGCTGAGGCCCCTTGACCCGGACGGTGGGAAAAACCACCCCGTGGACTGCGAGGGGCGTCCGCGTCCTCAGCCGAATGACCTTCTCTACGAGCAGCTACTGGACAACCTGCAAGCAATACATGATCGCGAAGTACCACTTGGGCCCGAGGAGCAGGCATTGCTGCCAAACGAGATACACAACCGCCCACGTGACCAGCACGCTTATCCCGTGCCATTTGCTGTGCCTCCTGTGCAGGCGACTCCTGTTGCGTGAGTGGCCTTTATTTTCTATATAGGTGTCTGGTTAATATATCTATGTGCGTGTGTCATATGTTCCTTCATCTCCTGTCCTCTGCCATCTCTCGTTATAGACATTCTGCCTTGAGAGAACCAGAAGTAGTAGTAGTAGTAGTAGTAGACTCCTGTTGCGTGAGTGACCTTTATTTTCTATATATGTTTCTAGTTAATATATCTATATGTGTGTGTCATACGTCCCTTCATCTCTTCTCCTCTGCCATCTCTCGTTATATACACTCTGCCTTGAGAAAACAAGTAGTAGTAGTAGTAGTAGTAGTAGTAGTAGTAGTAGTAGTAGTAGTAGTAGTAGTAGTAGTAGTAGTAGTAGTAGTGTAACTACTACTACTACTACTACTATTGCTACTGCAGCGACAGCAGCCACTGCAAATTAAATTCAATTAATAGCATGACTGAGACCTCTCCCTAAAACCACGACTTGCTGTTTGCCTGCAGCCCCTTCAGCCTAACGTGTGCTCAGCTATTTGTTAGCGTCATTGTGCCATGCAATCCTTCATTGCCGTATGCTGTACTACTCTTAGCTCAGGCTCCATTCTGTTACTCCAAACAGCACTGCCCTAGCCGAATGTCGAGAAAGTAATGCGATATGTATACAGCTGTATCATCACTTTCTTGCTACGAAACTGAGCACAGAATGATAAAGACAACGAGGGGGGGGGGGATTTTATGTGTATGCATTATTTCACATTTATATGATGTTTTGTCCGTGAACGACAGATGGCTTCATGTCTTCTCTCTTCGCAGCTGGCGCTGCTTTGTGGCCAGCTTCTCCAGTGCCAACAGCTCTTCCGGAAGTAGCAACTCTTCCACTCCCAATTCGCATGTGGTCCTCACCTTCATTCCTGCCACATTTGAAAACCTGCAGCGCCTCATGAGGCGCCCAGAGGATGAAATCGCCTCTCTTCAGGCCGAGGCTCATCCCACTCATGGCAGTTGCAGCACTGGTGGCGTGCCGAAAGACTACGCCATGTTGCAGACCGAGTCCTCGTCCGAGCCAGCAGCCACCAGCAGCTTTGACCGCGAGGCTCCCACGTCATCGGCCGCAGAGGATCTCGCCACTGGTGAAGTGTGCGACTCGTACGACGGGATGGAATCTCATGCTTTTCGGCAGCTAACGAGTTCGCACTCCGACCCGGCGCTGTCTTCACGCGGCGCCGAGAAGCACGAATCGTTGCCACGGCAACGATCGGCTGACTTGCCCGACCTCAACAGCCACAGTCGGCACAGGACCTCAACGCCGTGCCCAGAAGCCGCAAAGGACGACGATGGTAGTGCGTCTCCGAAGTCGCAAGAAGGCGAAAGGCCCGCTCTCCACATGGCATCTGTGAGTCTTCCGGTGTATGTCTACGACGCACCGGTGTCAGCGGTGATTGGGCGGCTGGTTTACCAAGGTGGCGTGAGGCAGTGGAAGGACACGTACCTTGACTTGACGACACGGTCGGAAGAGAATACACGAGCTGGATCTGAGCCCGGTTGGGTGGAGTACAAAGCAGATGGCTCAGAAGGTGTGTTCTTTAGGATTGTAACTTAGCCTTCACTATAATTAATGACCTTGATTGGTCTCTCTACACAACATAATTAAATGCTCTGTGCTTTTGTATCGAAAACGTTTAACCCAGAAGGTTGTCAAATTCCTTTTCACTGCTCTTGCATGTCATGTCCTCAGCCATAGAAAACCGTGTGGAATATCTGTAGCTTTTTGTGAGCATCATTATTCTTCCTAGTTTTGTGGCTCGACGATGTCAACAAGTACTCAGCAAGTATCCATGACCATAAGTCTAACATCCTGAGACAACTCTTGTATAAGTAAAGTACATTGTTTTCTAATATTTATGTGCACTACATGCAATCCTTTTATGTGTGAGAAGTCTTAAAGCGATACTACGACATTAAAGATTTGCCGGTTTTCCTTCAAGTGCACCTCTCTGCATCACTCGTTTCCTTATTTGTTCCAGGCTCGCCTTATAAGACCATGTCACCAGAGCCCAAATCAGATGACTCTGAGCTTGGCAGTGACCGCTTTCCAGCTAGAAAACACTGTTCACGCCTGCGCAAGGCTTTCTCCAAGAGCTTTGTGTATGGATTGTTCAGGTGAGTTACATTTACAGTATGAGTTATAGATGGGTGAGAAAAACAAAAGCAAGGAAGGGCACAGACTTCAAATGACTGTGGGAATGAGTAAATGTGACATGAAAAGTTTCGTATTTTCCGGTTATTTGTTTAGCGTACTTGAAGACTGTAGGCCCATGCACTGGCTCATACAGGAAGTGGGTTGTAAGGGAAAACACGCAGGTGCCTGACACTATCACATTACTCCTATGGTCCAGACACAGAAACAAAGATTCGGTGTTTTCTGTGAGTGAACAGAGAAAAAAAAAATGTTTAGATGGATACACACTGCCACATTTTTTTTTTTTCAAGTATTGTTATCGCCCCATTACACGTGTAAGTGCTGCCTTGTGCAAACCGCGCCGATGGATTAAAAACCATCGAGATAATCTTGAAACCTTCTCGCTCTATGCAAACATTACAGTTTCTTCTAGAACTTACGTGGCCGCTAGTGTAGCGCTGGAGTATTTGACTGGCACATGTATTAATGCCGATGCGCTTCACCGCTTGTCACATTATCAACGACTGTCACCCTGTACATCGCTATCAGTGCCAGTGTGTATTGCTGTAATCTGACTTTCTGTGTACAGGCCACAAGTTCAGCAAAATAAACAGTTTCATCTTGGACATAAAGACTGCTGCCCTCAGTCAACGTCGCGACCGATTGACGTTGACGAATGTGGGGGGTTGAAGCTTCCACTGGCCCTTCTACATAGCTATAGTAGTTGAAGGGGAACTTAAAAAATTCTGGCTTTTGCTGCTATATGTTGCTGGGGGTCCATTATTCACAACACGGCACACCGCTTGCTGCAGTGCGAGATGAATAGACTGTAATTAATTATGCTCTATTTATCACTAACCAGTCAGTTATGTTTGGGAAAGCTTCGAGGAGGACCAGCCATCAGGTGCAACTGCAGTCGAACCCCTTTACAAGATACACTGATACAAGAGAAAAATGGGTATAACAGACACCAGTGTGCCTACATTGAAATAGAGGTTGATAAGAAAATGTACACGGAGTACCCTGCTTATCAGAGACGTCTCTTATAAAAGAGAAGAATTGCTAACTGGTGCACGTCTCTTATAAAGGGGTGCAACTGTAACGCCATCTAGCACGTGAAACAACACATGAAACTGCGACGCACTTCCATACTGCCTGCGTCGTATGCTGGTGTTCTTTCGCTGTCTGCATGTGCTGCGTCGTCATTGTTATTATCATCATCACCATCGTCACCTAGTGGTAGCAACGCCTTTCTTGGGTTCCCCACTTTTTTACACGTAGATCGCAGGCATGGGCTCTTGAGCAGCCACCGAATAGTAGCCTGCTGGCACAAGCGCAACAAAAGGGCATTGGTCATCATCATAACAATACTAACTGCGTCAGGTTTGAGCTCAGCCCCAGTGTTGACATCTAGGGGGAAATTGGGGGTCACCTTCAGGTCACCTTAGATGATGTTGATGTCATGAACTGGTGTAGACAGGGCTGCATAATGCACACGAACTTCCAAGGCTCACATAAATTACCTCTCAAGCTATGTTCACTGTTGAGATTCAATAGATGATATACCTATATTCATGGGTATGGATCCTGCAGGCTATCTCCTCCGTGAAATTTTGTATTGCAACCCTCTTAAGGCGGTTTCAATGATGGAATGATTGTAGGACGAAAGCAGGGACAGCAGAGAAAAGCATGGGTAAACTATAATTGCAGCATGTGTTCATTTCTATAGTAGTCGGAGACAACTAAGTCCAAAGAAGCAACGCCCAGACGACCTACATGCGGCAGCTGCTTGTCTCTACGACTGAAAAAATAGTTTCGCTCATGCACTCAGCAATGTGTCACGAAGACGGGCTCACTGGTTGTCATGCTCATTAAGTTCGCCTTGAGTGCACACATGTTGGTTGTGGCCTGTGTGCCCCTGTGAGGTGGATAGGCCTGAGAGTTCTTATGTTATATCCAGTTCTTTTGAACTATACAGTTCAAATTTTAGGCAAGTGCCTGTTTCGTTCCTTTCATTCCTATCTCACCTCTTTCATACACGAGTATGAATTATAGGTTTGGAATGGCTCATATAATGTTGTTATATAGTGCCTATAAAAGGTTATTTTTTAGCCTTTGTGCTTAAATGCCGGTCATCATCATCATCATCATAAGCCTGACTACGTCCACTGCAGTGCAAAGGTCTCTTTTATGTTCCGCCAGTCAACTCGGTCCTGTGCTTGCTGCTGCCATTTTATACCCGCAAACTTCTTAATCTCATCTGCCCATAAATATCTACAAATGCCTATTTATAAAATCAGGGCATATATGAACACTACTTAGTCTCACGTTCTTGCTTTCAAGTGCAGTTTGAAAATCTTCATGTTACCATGCAACATTGACTCTTTGTAAGTAATTCTATGGGGTTCAGCGTAGTTTTCTAGTTCAACCAACTTGCAGGAAACGACCACCAGCAGCACCAGCTGTGCTGAAAAGAGAGAGTACCCAAGAGTGTGTTGATTCTACAATGGACAACAGAGTCACCGACCGTGCTACAGGATAAAAAGAGAGAATGTGTTCTGCAAACCATTCGGAAAAAGGGCAATTGCATTGCTATGTTCTGTTGGTGCCTTGATGCCATTATAGGCAATAGCATTTGTTGCTTTCTTGTTTTTGATACAGGTTGTGCACGTCTTTGTTTACAAGCTATTTGCATGCTCTGTAAACGTTTATTGTGCCCTACATTTAGGATGTTGGAGGCCTAAAAGGTTTCTTTGCCTGCCTTTTCCCGGTGCCTAAAACATGCTTTTTTAATGGTTCAAACGCCAGCCTTTGTACAATATTCTTACTACTATGCACTCATTATGTACAACTAATATGTTCAATAATGATCATCATTAATTACTTTTTCCTGACTGAAGCTATAAATTAGAAGCCAATAAATGCTCGAACGATGCCGACTAAGCATGTCTTTGGAGTCTTGCAGCCATCACTCACGGTTTGCAATTGCTTGTGTGGCCATGGTCTCTCTCTGAGCTCTGGCTCCTAATCTTTCTTATTTTCAGAGCACTATGCGAGGGACTGCCCGTGGACATGCAAGACGTCTCGACCGTTGTGGAGGACGCTTGCGAGGAGACCGCGCTCACTCTCGACATCACGGAGTTCATCCAAGCGATCTGCGGTCACACTCGGGACTTCCGCATCAAGTCCACCGTAGAACACTCCCACCGAGCAAGCACAGAAGCTCCTCGACACGAGGGCGTCGGCAGCAACGAGGCCAGTTGCGAAGGTGTCTTGGTTCTGCCCGTTGAAGAAGCAGATGCTGCAATTGGTGCAGATGAAAGCCGGCGCACTTCAAGTGATGGGTGGGGGCTGTACTTCTTTTTTTTGGTTTTTCCGTCATCAGGTGTCTGCATTCTCAGGCAGGTAGTCGTAAGCAAGCTAAGAAGGCTCACCTCCTAGGGTTTTGTGTCTGTGTCATGCATCATGTGTAGTTTAGAATAACGAAAAGCTGAGCTAGCTTTAGAATCTATTGTAGCTGTGGTCTGTTGAGAGGCATTTATCATCGAAGGGCTCAACTCATGTGTGAAAATAGAAAAAGGGTACTTATTGCTTACTTAATAATCCTAAACGACACTCTCAGAATTAGTATTCTGACAAACATCACTGAGACGATGTTCTGTGAAATTTAGAAAGGTCCCACATGACCAAAAAGTTTTTCTCTCTCCGAAATATTCTAGCAGTTCACCGTTTCGAATGCAGTAAAATGGCATGCCTTTTTTTTTTTTTCGAATGCATTTGTGACGAAGGATAGCTGGTACATTTGGTGTGGAATGACCTTAAGCATTCATCAAAAACAAACCGCAGTCAAACCTGTACATATCGAACTCATACATATCTAATTATTGTGCATCTTTAACAGTTGCAATATTCCCATGATCATATTTTTTTATGTGAAATATTTTATAGATAAAATAGAGCATCTTTGGGATCCTTTTTAAATTTTATATATCTGGGCGTGGCTGTACTGCACTCAAACCTCGTTGTAACAATGTTGAAGGGGGAGGCACAATTATTTCGTTATATCCATTATTTCGCTATATCGATTATAACAGTTTGTGGCAATGTATGCTCAGATGGGCGCACACCTATAAGCATGCAAAAAAGGAAACCGCCTTGCGGCCCGATGTACTGCGACGCAACCACGCGCGCCACGAAAAATAAATTTAGTCGAATCTTATTAATTCAAATTTTCAGGTAATTTGAACTCAAGCTGAGGTCCCGTCAAAGCTATGTGTATTCCAATGAGCGAAAACGTCCTGTAATTTGAACGCGCAAGCACTTGCAACGGTTAATTTGAACATACCGTGTTCCGAAAATGCTCTACGCACCATGCCCAATCCCGCGGCGGCACTTCTCATCGTTGCGCTCGAAGAAGGAACAGAAGAAAGGGAAAAAAAAGACTGTTGCGGATTGTTTGCTCTCTCTCAAATGCCGATCTGCAACGTGCCTATGCCACGCTTCTCCCTTTTTCGTCTCTGCACGTAGAGACCCTTCTCCTTTCAAAGCCGCGCGCGGAGAGAGGAAAAAAAAAAAAAGCTGTCGCGGAGAGTCCTCCTTTCTTGGTGCAGAGGGTAGCAGCCACGGTAGCAGCGAAGACGCAGTCGTTGCCGTCGTGAGAGGGAAATCGCTTTGCACCATGGCGCCGCTTCTCGGTCATGTAACCCGCTGAGCGCTTCCCCAATCCTCTCCCCTAGGCTGTGCGAGGAGGACGGCTCTCTCGGCCATACGGGGCGTGGCTGTAAGGTCGGCGCGGGTGTTTTGAAAGAGCCGCGCCGAATGAGTGTCAAACTCCGCAGAAAACGGTATACTTAACACACTAGGGTCGCTTTTTTTTAATAGACTAATTTAGTTCGTTATATCCATTCACCGGTACATTTTACTTTGTTACAACGGCGTTTAAAATGTATGGTTCTCAATGCAGCTTTCAAGGGAAATTTTATTTACTTTCTTATATCTATTATTTTGTTATATCCTATTACGTAATAACGAGGTTTGAGTGTATTTGTGACTTAATCAGGCCATCCTGAGAAACTTTTTGCACATGCGTTTAAACGATTAAAGACCCGTTGATGCCGATAAACGATGAAATAATCTAGTCCAACTGCTCAGTGTTTTATTTATTTTGGTTAAAAGAAACCTTGAATACAAAGGACATGTTGTCCGTATCCTTTGAGTATCTCTTGTAACGAGGTTTTACTGTGCTTACACTGTGGAATTACAGAGTGTTAAGGTCTATGCCTGGTGACGTGAGCTCGCTTCAATTTATTCCGCCGGCTTTGCTGACTGCAGGGTCAGCAGCCTGTTCCCGGTGAACCTGCTCAAACGCCACCACCCGTGCGACATTGTTCAGCAGCTGCACCTGAGCATCAAGCAACGCTTCCAGGAGCTGCTCGAGGAGGTGTTTCAGCGCATCCCCTCGCACCCGGACTACTACTACTTCTGCCCTCCGTGCGAACCACGAACCTTGGTGAGTTTTATTTACTGAAGGGGCATCTTCTCACAGGTGATGAAGTATGATGTGGAGTAGTCTTCCTGAATGCATAGACGCAGAAACTAACCCAGCAAAATGGCGGCCATCGCTTAAAGGGGCCCCGCAACACTTCTTCAGCATGGTCAGAAAGCACTGCCGATTCATAGTCGAGGTCCATGTGAACGTGCGAGTCAAACATTGTAATTTCTAAAAAAATGGATTGGAGAACAAACATGCAACACATTCTTATACAGTCGAAACCCGCAATAACGAAACCCCGCGAGTACGAAATCTCCGCGGCAACGAAATATTTCCGGATCCCGGGCGAACGTTCATAGAAGCCCATGTATTACGTATCTTGCGGGAACGAAATGTTTGTGGACAGCGATCCCGCATTAACGAATTTTCTACCATGGTGCTTTGCGATGGCGGGGCCGGGAGCCGGCTTCTTGGGCTCATCTGAAAGAGCATTTCTCCGTGTTTAACTTTCCCGCCTCAGCTGGCTCCTCCCTTTAAAAACAAGCGCACAAAAAGCAAATGTTTGAAGGTTGTTTCGAGGCCCCTAATTGGCTGTGGCCGCCATGTTGCCTCAGCTCGCCTCGCCATTGGCCCGATGCTCGCTCCGTGAGATCGTCGTCTGCTGCTTGTGCGTCGCGAGGACATGGCTCTCAAAAATTGCTACTTCGTCACGTGTTCACGGCTCGATAATCACTTAAGATATAATTACACTTTAGTTAGGAGCAGTAGGCGGTTGCGCGATCAAGTTACTACAAGCGCGGCGCATCATCGGAGTCGTCTTTAGCCCCCACTTCGCCGACAGCGAGGCTGCGGGCAGGAACGACGCGCTAGCCAACTCGTGGCGACGTGCTTCGTTGCAAGCGATGAAGCTGTAAGCGGCGGCACGGTCAGATTACTACGGGTGGCCGTACTGGATGCACGATCAGATTACTACGAGCGGGCGCACGGTCTATGAGAGTGGCGCATCATCGAAGTCGGCCTTAGCCCTAACTTCACTGACAGCGAGACTGCGGGCAGGAACGACGTGCTAGCGCATCCGAAACAACCCGCGGGTTGTTTGGGATGTGCAGGACACCCTTCGCTCCTTCGGCGCACATGACGGCGACGTAGCAATGGAACACTTTTTCCAGTGCGAAGGTAGAGCTTTGAAGTTGGTGCATGACAAGGGTCGGTAAAGTAAGTTGACCGACTTCTGGCAATAAATTTTCTTTCTGCCGGCCGTATCACTGTTTTTATGTCTCATACTCGCGGCAACGAAATTCTCGCAAAAACGAAATTTTTCAGTTTCCCCGGCGGTTTCCTTAGTGCTCGGTGCCCCTCTCTTGTTTGTGTGTGTGTGTGTGTATGCACGCACATGTGTCACGTGTTTGCGTTCTGAGCAACTATGATCTACCAACTAGCCCAACAAATTATTTTACAAACATGATAGCACCACATGGGGCCTGGAATTTACATATAATTTTCAGTCAGCTAAATATCGGTCACTCCGGTCTCAACAAATGATGCCGTTAACTCAAGTGCCTGCACACAAACCCAAAGTTCACGACCCTTAGCTGATTTGAGCATCCTGAGCTTAATAGTTACCATGACTGTTGCTGTTGCACACTTGCTCACGATTGCACTGAAGGTAATCCACGCCTTAAAAAAAAGACAGAGAGAAACAAAATTAGTTAAGATCATGATGCGTGCTGATTAACAGACATAGCTTTCTGCCCCCTTGTCATCTCCCGCTGGGTAGCTTTTAGTAACCTCGCTGATATGAAAGGAGAAAGAAGGCATTTGAAATGTGCAACAAATCCCTCTGGCTCTGTTTTTTTTCTTGATGAATTCTAAAAATTTTTGCAGCAATGGGCTCGAGAAGCAATCAACTTCTTTTATGCTTTGACATGCTGTGCATGCAATTGTGTGCACCACTTGCATCTGCTCTATTTGCTATTTGTATCAATTAGAGGCTAGTTGGAGCAAGATAAATTAAGCTTCGCATGTATAGAACCTCCGTAATAATGAGGTTGAACTCGTTTAACTTGATTTTGCAGCATACTGTTGCATAGGATCACTTTACTGAAGCCACTGCCATATGCGACGAGTCGTGTGATGTGCCGCTTTCTGCAATCTGTGTGTAAAGTATTTTTCTGTGTTCAGCATAAACATAGCTGAAAACTATGCCTCTAGCCCGAGATTCCATTCAACTTATGCGAAAACAGAGCATGAATGGCTTCAAAATAAATATAGTACTCAATCACAAAATAAATACAGTGGGCTCACATTTAATGGAAGCTGAAGGGACTGAGAACATGTGTTTCATTTAACAGGAGTTCCGTTTAGTGAGAGGGGAGATGGGTTGCAGCATTGAAGTACGAAAACAATCGCACCAGAGGCAGTTGTTCCATTTAAGCAGCAGTTCCGTTGACTGAAAGTCAACTGTATAATGGTTACCATAACCCACATAAACTAACACATTACAACATTATTTTTGTTGCAATATACAGTTGAACTTGCTTATAACGAACCTCCATATAACGAATTCCTTGATATAACAAAGTTTTTCTATTCCCCGCCATTACTTTATAGAAGCCCATGTATTTGTGACCTTCATGTAACAAAGTAACAGTGGGAGACATCCTTGATATAGCAAATTTTCCCCACGGAGAATCTAAGAATTTCGCCCCGGATTTCGTCATTTGGCATGAGCATGCACCTTCTGCGGGTGCCCCGGCGCTGATGAAGTGCAAAGTGGCAGCGGTGGGCAAGGCGTGCACGTGGCCCCGGTGACTCCCAGGCAAGAGTTAGTGCTCATCAAGGCGGGCGGGTGTGCGTGAGGCGGGCAAGCAGGTATATGCGCCCCACGAGCCAGCGTTACCGCTGTTCTTGCCGCCGCAGGCGCATGTGTGGAGGTGCCCTTTCCTCTCTGCCTCCAAACCAAAAATAAAGAAAGAATGCTTTTGCATTGGTAGTGCCACGCCTTTAGTTAGCGTCACATACGTGGGTCTATGCCGCATATAGAGGGCATTTTACCGAATACTTTCCCGCAATATTCATGTTGTTCGCGCTTTATTTTCGATGCCGTGCACGTCTTTTTTTTTTTTATTGTAACTTTCACATCCATGTAACAAAAAACTTCGCAAACACTTGTTTGGTTCCATAGCCTAACTGGCTAGTAGAGGGACCAATTGTGTGACATACCTACATACTTGCGCAAGCGGTTACACAGCGACAAAGGACATCAAACTGGATACAGTGTTTAAAATAGAAAAAAAAAAGCAAAGAACACATGATTGAACTATACAAAGAAACATAGCGCAGAACACAGCTACTTATAGCACAGAATAATAATAGCACTAGAATAATACTAAATGACTATGCAGACGTATTACTTGGAAAGTTCGCATGAGGTGCATGCTTCATGGCCAATGAAAAATTTCTAGCCTCTTTCACATCAGTCGGTATCACATTCCATATGAGAACGCCATGAAATTCTATGAGCCTTCGACGTAGGCATTTCTGGCTACCGGTAAATTAAAACAGTGATGGTTTCACTGCGCTCGCATAGTGTGGCCCCCGGCGTCATTAAGCTTTCCTTAATTTTTTTTCTTGAATGCGGAGAGCGGAGTCATCACTACTGAGGGGATGCATGTCAGATTAGGCGCTGATGGAAACTCTTCGAGATCACAGTGGCAGCGACGAATCTTCGGAAATCGACTCATCACGCGCTTCGCCATTTTGTGCTGTGCCGTGAAGTCGCGAGATCACAGCCTTCGGGATTAGCTGATTAGCTGCGGCAACAACACTGTCGCACCGGAACGCTTAGTGAGACTCACTGCAAAGCGCACTGGCTGGCGAGTGTGTTTGCCAAACTCAATTTACCACTTCACTGCAACACAGTGTCCAGCCTCGGTAGCAGTGTTTTGAGAATAGATGAGTCATATTACATCTATAAGCTGTCATTTTTATTATTGGGAACATTCTTATGCCTTAAAACCTACATGTACACCGCAGAAAACTACTCTTATATTTTCACTCTCGAGCGATTTCCAGCTATGGTTGCCAGGGGCTTGCCCAGCATATGCTGTGCAGTGGTCCTAGCTGCCATGTTTGTTTGCAGAGTTTATATTAAGGGCATCCTATTACTGCAACTGACGACCGGATAAAAAACATTTCCTAGATTAACAACTATCTGTCGTGCTAGTAGCACTACAGATATTTGTATTATCAAGTAGCCATTGCCATTATCATTATGCTTCCAAAATACGCATTCCTTTCTTGTGGGATGCACAGCACCAAAGTGATATTCTGGGGGTGTAAGCGTACTCGCTCAAGATGACACTAATTTTGCCAGTGTTACCAGGGTATAAGAAAACTAAGGACATAGGCAGTGACATTCAGCCTTGCCCAAAAAGCAGGCACATACGGCCTCAATAAGCCCACAGTGCTATCTTGCACTTCTGCAGGGAAGGCAGAGTAAAATATTTTTGGAAATGGCAGCTAAACATTCAATTGATGGAGTTGTGAACAGCCAAAAAAAAACTTTCCTGTTTGAATCTCGTAACAGTGTGCTTAGGGATTCTCTGCAACATTTTTTGTGTAGTTTGTCTTCGAAGTATTTGAAAAATATTTGAGAAATATGCAAAAGATATTCTAGAATTATTTGAAAATCATTCCATTTGATTCGCACTCAGGTTTTGTTATTCGAATTTGCTTCACACTCAAAGTTTAAGTTTTGCTATTCACACAGCTCTAGTCTAAGATGTTTAAGTCTTGCAAGTTATGGCAACCCTCCATCACAATTCTGTCTTCCACGTAGTGGGGGCTGACTGAGCGAGCCAGCAGTGGTGCTCGGCCCAATGCTGACGCACTCGCCGAGGAGGGAGGAGCACTTTGCGACTGGGACGATACTGACACGGATCGGTCTCACAATGTCGAATTCTCCATGGATGCCGAACGTAAGTACTGGATGTCCACAAACTCATGTCGCGTCTTCTGTATTAACACTCATACGAACTGATTCTTTCGATGGGGCCAGTATGTATCACCTTGCTCAGCAGCTGAAAGCTGCACTAATCTCAAGCATAGTTCGTTTAGAGTGTTTCAATGGAATAGCATATCGGAGAATGTTCCTCTGGCAATGCATGGCTCGGTAATGCAATGTTATGTGCATATAAGTGTCAGATTTTCTGCATTGAAGGCGTGAGCCATGTCCCTATCTATCTACACTGATGCCTTGTTTCTTACAGTGTTAAACTTGGTGGCTTATGTTGTGTGTTTGTGGGAAAGAATTATGAACTGTTTCTTTCACAGATACTTTAGTGTCACTTAACTCACTGCTTCAGTGTAACAGTTCAATGCTTATATAAAGGTATGGCTGCAGTTGCATCAACAGCGCACCTGTTACTAAGAGTTCTTCTTGTTACTGTGTTTATGAGCCATGTCGCGAAGGTTACTCCGGTGGATTGACGTGCGAGTGTGATACGTAGACAGGGACAGGAAGGACATGGACAAACGCTTTTCAAATAATTTCGGTTCATTAAGAATCACCAACTCGCCCAATCAACCATTTTGATAAGTTACTCTGGTGATCTCATTTAACATCGAGGTAGTGATGTGACAGTGCGACATCGTTGCGCTTTCTCATGTGCCCTTTGGCACGTTGCTATGACGCCGTGCTTCGTACTGTATCATTAACAACAGTACGTTGGAAATTCAAGCAGTATACCAAGGTTTCCAGTGCTAGTCATGCTGAATATTGTGATCAACATGACGAAGAGAAGGACAACAAAAAGATAGACTGGTGCGAGCTGTTCGTGTTGGCAGTGCTGCTCGCCTAACCAGTTGTAAGTACATGGATATACGTATTTCTTCAGGTCCGTGTCTTCCGAGTCTAATTCTTTCCTGTAACTATATCACAAAGGTGTCTCTGCTCACGTGATTAACTGAGACCACTGCTTTGGATTACTTCGGTTGAGAAGCATGCAAGGTGCACACGCCCTGGCTATCAGGAGCAGCCGTGTGCACTTTCACATTGTGGGCTCCAGATCCCTTTTTGAACGCAGCATTGGCATGTGCTCAGTCTCTATAACCATGCTCCTAAGCTAGCTTAGTCATTCTCACTGAGTGTTTACGGGTATGCCTTCCCTGGCTGTGACCATAGTTCCTCCGCTGGCCACTGCGGTGGTGAAGAAAGCTTGCCACTTATTAGTCACTCTAGATGTACATTAAGCAAAGTTACAGTGATAAAGTATCATTTGCCCTTTGCCAATGACTTGTGCTCACAGCTGTAGCTGACGTCGGCAACTCGGGTGATGAGAAGGGAGCAGCTGCAGCACTGCATCCAAAACCGGACCCTGCCATTGCAGCTGAGATCACGAGCATAGAGTCCTGCGCTGGGTCGGCACGATCACCCCCATCACCGGGCGAGGAGGATTCTGGTGACGAGGATGAAGAAGACGACGAGGAAGTAATGGAGACCATTCGAGAGGCCGAGCCCATGGTTCCGCCCCTGTTTGCTCATCTGACGTGCTTGGTGACAACCAAATCGGGCTGCGGTTCGTGCTCACTGACCTCACTGCCGACCTGCCTTGGTGAGTATGATAGGCCACTTGCATTCCTGTATTTGCAAGCAAGTCTCAGCTTTAATTGTGTGAAGGAAAACTCGCTCAGCTTTAGTCACATTGTGCTTATTATTATTGTAACTAAATGTGTAAGCTAGTGGGTATACCGTATTTACTGTAATGATCGCACTCAGATAATGAACACACCCACAACTACAATCATCAAAATTTAGATGTTTTTTCTTTATAAACGCAGCCCCTACATTCATCCGCTTCAGTCCCGCAAACCAACACATGGCGCCTCCTTGCCCGTTGAATCTTTTCTACTCTTTATTATGCCCACCCACCTTGGCTCGCTCCCTTCACCTGCTGCTGTGTATTGTTTTGTTTTTAAGTCTATCTGTGTGTGGCATGTCCCCTTTCTTTTTTAACTATCCATGTGCTTCAGCGGGCTTTACGAATGGTGCGAGTGTAGAGACATCTCAGCTGACAAGCACACAGTCAGTGGAGGTCACTAAACTTCCCATGCAATCAGCGGTCGCCTCCTGCAAATACGAAACTTCAAGAACCAACTTGCCCAACCACATGCACGAGATTTTCGAGCGACGACAAAAGGATTTGCTGTCACCATGGCCGTCGCGAAGAGCCATTGTCGCCATCGTGTCGCAGGTTTCTGGAAAATCAGGGAAAAGCGCTTGTCGCCCAGAAAGGAGCATGACGATTTCTGCAACATGGTAGCAGCTATGATTTTCTCTTCGTTTGCAATTTTCTCTTTATGCTTGTTATCTGCGCACACTTCAAGGAAAGGAATGCAAGATATAGCTAAAGTGGTTGCTTGGGCATGTTTGTTGGACATATTGGAGAGAAACAGTGAGAAAGACAAGAAGCCAGGCTAAGAAGGACACATATAAGAGCGCTAACTTGCAATGGAAGTTTATTCGTGGTTTGACGAATAAACTTTTGTTAGCAACTCAGTGCTCCTGTATCTTTCCTTCTCGGCCTGGTTTCACATCCTTCGCGCAGTTTCTCTCCAATAAGCAAGATATAGGCTATCTTTTCTACAGTGACAAAAACGGAAGCAGCCGTATTTTGTCGTTAATCTTGTAATCTACTGTTTGTTTTGATGCTTCAGTGGCAGCTTACTGCAATGTTGGTTACTTGCTGCAATGTCATCGCAATCGTCGTGCGGTTGCCAAGGAGTTGAAAAAGTATTTGAGAAATATGCAAAAGACGTTGTAGCATTGTAGCGCTCACTTCTGGGCACCTCTCATGATCACAGCAGATACCAATGTTGCAGTTAACAATTAGGAGAAAAAAAAAAGTCAAAGCTTTGCCACAAAGGCAAAACAATGAACGCAATAGCAACACATTGGAAGGTCACCCGAAGAATGGCAAGCAGATTGAAACGTGTCCCGGGTTTCTCACACACAAATGACGCACAAATGACGTTTCTCACCCACAAATGTACACTCACTAGTACAGATGAAGCGTCTCTGGTGTTACTTCGCTGTGTCTGAAAAGCATACCCTTTTCGCAAACGGAGACGGTGAAGTGAGTGCAGTAACCTTTGTGCGCCTGGTAACTACAACGGAATCATTCCGGTGAAAGACCACGGCATACGATTCTCTCCACTACGAGATTAACGTGCGCATGCGTGAGCGTCCACCTCCCGCCCCTCTTCGCGGGGCAAAGTAGGAGTGGGAGACCGCAGGGAAAAGTACGCGTTATGGTGACCCCGCTATAACTGCAGCGGACGATCACCGCGGGTTAACGCTTAGCGAGCCACATGGCCGCTGCTCCGTTTACTCGCGTGTAGCGCACCGCTCCGCGCGCGCTCAACTAATAAGGCGTTTAGCGCGGCACGGCAAATAGACAGTGTTCTAATGCAAAAGTACACAACACTTTATTGCCTCTGGCGGCACCCCGAACAACAGTACAACGTCCTCTCCCGGGACGCGGGTAACAAAGGCACACGCACGCGAACGTTCACAATAAGGAGAAAACCGCGAGCACGTCACAGCTGGCAATGGCGAGCTTTGACACGCCGGTCGGGAAAAAGTCCCTCGCGCTATGCTGCGCACTCTCACGATGGCCAATGGGCCTGGTCGCGAGTGTTAGGGCAAACCTCGTACGCGTAGGCCTAACGCAAGTGCGGCTCGTTGTGGTACGACCACTTCAAGCACTAGGCACCGCTCTGGGCTTAGCGTACGCTACCGAAGCCAGCACTCAAGTAAACACGCCTGCCGGGGTGCCCAAGGCCACCCCGGGTAGGCTACAGTCTACGAGTCCCAAAGGGGACGCGGACGAAGGAAAACACGTGCTTACCCGGCGCCGACCCACGGAAAAAAGAGCGCTCCCTCGGCGCGCGCGTACCGCGTGCCGTGCTCGCACGTGGTGCCATCTATCGCCACGTGGTGTTAACAGAGCGGGAAAGCAAAAGGGTGTGACCGTGTGGCGGAATGCCCGCGAAATGGTCGCGGGCGCGCCTCAGATCCCCACATCCTCCTCTCCTTAATTCACCCTATATACCGGTCTGCAAAGGCAGCCGGTCGTCGCTCATACATACAAAGGCGTCATGTAATGGGCAACAGCTAGCCTCAGCCTCGCTCTGCAACTGCTGCTGAAGGAAAAAAAATAAAACAATACAGAATACACATGAGAAATACAAAAAACATATATTTTGCCCGCTGCAGCATTCTTAGGTGAGGGGGGGGGGGGCTCCGCTGTGCCTTATAGTTCCAAAAGACGGTCGACGTCCATGGTGGCGACGCCGTCCATAGGTGGTCCGTCGGTGGCTGCGGGCGGTGGCAGCCCTGACAGTAGTGCCGCGAAATGGGGGTCCTCCCCCATTCGCTGTCGGCACAGGGCCGCCAGGTCCGTGTCCGAGCGCTGGCTCAGAGAGGCTGGATCCGGCGCCTTCCTCTCGGTGGCCCTTCCCTCGGCGGCCGCCTTTGTCCGCGCCCCCGTGCATGGCACCCTTGTAGTGGCACTTGAAGTGCACGGTTACGCGGCACGTGGCGACGAACCCCACCGCTGCATCGGTGGGTAGTTGGGCGCCTCCGGCTGCTTTTCGCCCTCCGCTAGCGTGCAGCCACGGAATGGCCACGAGACATGGTCCAGCGGCAGGTCGCGGCGAACACGCCGCTGTGTTTTCTACGGTGCGTCGCTCACGAAATAGCGCGGGACCTCCTGCCCCTCCTGCCGCGCCCACGTGGCCACGCTCCGCCCTGGTGTTTTGGGGACCGGTGGCGGTGCCGATGTTGTTGATCCCCGCCGCCGGGACGCCCGCCTGGTGGACTTGGGTAGTGCCGAGGCGGAAGGTTCTGGCCGCTGAGGCGCCCGCTGTGTGGGTTTATGGCTAGGGGGCATGTCGCTGAAGGGCCTGTGACCACGACGACCGGCACCAGAACAAGAATGGCGCACCGCTGACAGTCTTCGGCTTCCCCCGTCGCCCCACAGACAACCTCCAGCGCCACCTATGTTGACGTAGGGGTCATTGACCCGGTTTTTCCCCTCTCCGCACCACACAGACACACACACCTGCACCACCAGAGTGTCCTTCGTCTCTCTCCCCCCCGCTAAAGCAGCAATCACAATCCCCTCCTCCAGCGAGAAGGAAAAAAAAAAGAAAACACGGGAAAAAACATCAAGTACACAGGAAAAAAAAACATCAAGTAACAACAGCACTAAAATGACAACCCGCAGCAGTAACAAAACATCAAGTAACAACAGCACTAAAATGACAATCAGCAGCATTAACTGGGCGGAACCGACTTCTTTGCAAGCACTGGCGGTAAAGAAGTTGGCTAACTGAGACTAGACAGTATAAATGAGGGCCTTCGTGCGGAAATAAGCCCGCCGTCCGGCACGAAATCACTAAGGTGACTGCTTCCTCAGATTATACCGGTGCGTGGTCCGAATGCGGTCCACCGCGCCGGGTATGCGCCGTTGCTTGCGCGAAGAGCCACTGGGCGCTGGCGCAGGCTCGTCAGACCTCGACGCAAAGGCTTTCAGGTCTGCGATGTGGGCACGGCTGAGTTTTCCCGAAAGCGGGTCTTTCAGCAAGTACGCGAGTGGAGTCCAAGCTTTCTCCACTCGGTACGGACCAAGCCACTTTGGAGCGAGCGAAGTTGGGAAACCCTTGCTTGCGTCGCTAAGAGCGTGGTTGCGCTTCAGGACGAGGTCACCCACCTTAAATGAAAGGTGGCGACGTTTTCGGTCGTACTGGGCCTTTTGTTCGGCCCTGGCCGATGCCAAACTCTGCCTCGCTCTACTGAGAGCTCGACAAAGCCTGTCACGAAGTGTGGAAGCGTAAGCAGAACAGTCTGCCGGTTCTTCCTCGTCTCCGAGCTGGCATTGCATGACACTGGTCAACGGATTTGCCAACTCCCTTCCGAAATTAAGGAAGGCGAGAGAGAAACCAGTAGAGCGACTTTCGGAGGTTCGGATTGCGAACGCCAGTTCACTCAAATGGTCTGCCCAGTCCCTTTGACTTTCGGCAAAGGCCGTCAACATCGGTTTGAGCGTACGATTGGTTCGCTCCGTCAAATTGGACTGGGGATGGTAGGGCGAAGTGGTGCAGTGATCTATTCCTAGGGAACAGCACGTATCACCAAACACCCGAGCGGTGCAATACTACGCATTGTCCGTGATCAATATTTTCGGAAAGCCGAACCGACAAAACACTTCCTGTAGCCTCTCTAGCACCGCTCGCGCTGTCACTTTCCGCAGCGGAAACAGCTCCACCCATTTGGAAAAATGATCAACAACTACCATCAGATGTATGAACCCCTGCTTACTCCTGGGGAACGGCCCCATTAGATCACAGGTGGCTACTTGCCACAGACGCTCACTGACAATCGGTTTCATCAAGCCGGGCGGCTTGCCACCCCTTGGTTTCACCATTTTACTGACGTGGCAGGAACGGCAATAGCGAAAAATGTCCCGCTTCATGCCAAGCCAAGTCACAACCTTGCTCAGTTTCGCAAAAACTTTAGAGCCACTCAGGTGACCGGCAATGGGCTCGTCAT